GGTGTGGGGTGGAGGGTTAATTAGGGGACAAAAAGAGGACATCTGTAATACTTTCGACAATAAAGATAAATTTTAAAAATGTTCCTAGCACCTGGCCAGGCGTGGCTCAGCGGTTGAGCATCAACCTAGGATCCAGGAGATCACGGTTCGATTCCTGGTCAGGGCACATGCCCGGGTTGTGGGCTCGATCCCCAGTTGGGGGGTGCAGGAGGCAGCTGATCAATGACGACTCTCTCATCATTGATGTTTCTCTCCCTCCCTTCCTCTCTCTGAAATCAATAAAGATATGTGTTGGGTTTTTTTTTTGGTTTTTTAAATGTTCCTAGCATATAAGACACACATTTCTATTTGCTTTTTCAAGGCATTTTCCTCTTACCATCTGTTTTCTAAACTTCCATAACTCACCTAACTGAGCCACCTCCACAGTTTATAAGCTAAACCTTATGAAGAGTACACTTAAGACAGGAACTCTTCATGAGCTAGCAAAACTGCACAAGATTAACTGGTTTTGCCTTTTCTAATATAGAGCAGAACATACGTGGGAGTTCAGTAAGTACAATGTGATGATAAAGATTCAGTTTGTGCTACTTTCTCCACGTATGGCCTGAAAACATTTCTTGTCTGTCCTGTCCAAACCTCTTCTTTAGTTTTAGATCCCAGTAGAAAGATGAACTGCAATCTGCCTAACACTTAAAATATAAGTCTACCTTGATTTAGGCAATAACTGCCTTTGAAAAGGTACTAACTGAACACTAAAAACTGGAAGTTAATTGTACTAGCAGCATCAGTTGCTTGGAGTCTCTCTTTTAAAGGACTTTTCTCCTTATTTATCCATTTCAGTTGATTGAATATTTACTATGTAAAGATGGTACACTTGTAGAAACCCCAGTGGCAAGGACTCTAAGTTCTCTGAATCTTAGTGGCACTCCGGATCATTCATCCCTTTAGACATTCAACCACAGTCTCTAAAGAGTGTTAACCCTGTGCAGATACTGGAGGTGCAATGATGATGCTCCCCTAAAATTTGTGGTCTGTGGTAGATACTATAGGAACAAGTAAGCCAGCAGGACCACCAGATTAAATCCAGGAGGCCCAGTGAAATCTGAATTTCAAATAAACAATGGCTAATTTTTTATCATAAGTATGTCACAAAAGTTGCACAGGAAAAACGTATATGGAAGAATTATTTGTTGTTTATCTGAAATTCAAATTTCACTGGGCATCTTGTACTTTGTTAGCTAAATCTAGCAACCCTAAGGCCTACAGAGAAATAAATAATTACACACTGGGAAAGAAAGGTGCCAGGGGCTATAAGAACATAAATAGGGGATTATTCTAGTTTGGTAGCAAAGACAAAGAAAAATTGGGGGGCATCTATCATGTGTCATGCACTGTGCATAATGCTATAAGATTGTTAGCTAAATTCATGGTTATAAACAGAAAATTAAAAAGTGGAACCATAAATCCCATTTGGATTCCCATTAGCTAAATGTAATATAAAAAATGTTAGGGATTATCCAAACCAATTATTTCACTAATCTTTTTTCTCCTGTTGATTGAACTATGCCTCATTGTCCGAAATCCTGGAATCTGAGACCTGTTATTATTATTGCCTTAATTGCTTTGTTGTATGTAGTAAAAGCTCTTGAATCAACAATTTTCAACCAACTCCTTGATATAAAACAATAATTAAAAGCCTCTGATGCATGGCAACACCTGTAAAACAAGTGTGATTTGTTTTTTACCTAAAGGTAGGCCACTCATTACATATCCAATTTCCACCTGTGATGTACCTGCAGCGTTCAACACTAACCTCTAAGAGTTTTGCACTGAGACTTACAGAAATCTTTTACATATGTTCTGACTTCCTAAAGGAGTAGTCAATAGGTTAGAATAAATTCACCATGTATGTACAATATCGACAAGATTTCATATTCTTTAGGAATTTACAAACAACATAAAATCGTTATTTGTGTTTTTTCAATATCCATATTCTTCAATCACTAAGAAAACAGTTGAATTTCTTTGCAAAGAAAGACATAAGATTTATACAGAGATACAAAAATAGCATCCTTGAAAAACTTAGCAGATTTCAGGGTGATTCAAAATGATCTTTAGAAAGCCTGAATCAAATTCAAACTCAAAAAAGTAATCTTGACAATGTTATCATCTTCCTTTTACCAACAGTTTACATTCCTCTCCCTTTACTAATAGTTGTTTTTAAACATTGAAGTCACAAACTTTAGATTAGGTAGCTTATTTTAACAATCGTTCAATACTTAATTAAGAAATCCAGGTAAAACTTTCACCTAAGTGAGTCCTACTTGGTGGTTTAATTAAAGCAAACCCCTTAAATAATGTCTGTCAAAAATTAAATATATGTCTGCACACAGGCATACCTTGGAGATACTGTGGGTTTGGTTGCAGGCCACTGCAATAAAGTGAGTTGTAATCTTTTTGCTGGTGGAGGGTTTTGCCTTCCATTTGGAAAAAACGCAACATCTGTGAAGTGCAATGCACAATAAAACGAGCTCTGCCTGTGTATGTACAAAGTAAACAAGGGATTCCTTTTGCCAAAGGAGCCCGTTGCTAGCAAGTAAGTGCCAGTAAAGCCTTCATCAAGACATAAGAAGGAACATCTGTTCACTGAGATGTTCCCAGGAAACTCATCTTTAGCCAGCCCAGTGGGAGAGCAGAGCATGGTTTTCTACTTAACCAGTACATTTTATCTTTGCCAAATCACACCATTTTCAGTCTCTTTGTGACTTAATGTGATAAAATAATAACACTTACTTTTTCCTGCCCTCTCTAGGATAGATGATGGCAGCTGTTAAAATGATTTGCAAACCACAGGTTCCAGATTTAGCAATGCCCAGCGAGGCTGCCATCTGCAAACCTTTCTGATCACTAATAAATGTGAGCTGGTATAGAG